ACTTGATATTGTTGATTATTATAATCCTAAAACTTGATATTGTTGATTATTATAATCCTAAAACTTGATATTGTTGATAATTATAATACTAAAACTTAATATTGTTATTTTTTAGAGTTATAGAATGTAATATTGTTAGTTCTGGGAATTCTAATGCAGCTAAGTAAGGTTTGGTTAGACTAGAGTCAGACTTCTTCTTTGTTCACTGGCTGTGAGCTCCGGCAGAAAAGTCCTAGTTGTTCGTCCATTTGGACTTTGGCTGTGTGTGCCCGGGCCTGAGTTTTCTGTGTAAATCTGTTTTTCATTATTTGTGTGTGGTTGGTTGGTTGTTTCTTGCCGCTCTGGCAGATGTACTTTGACTTTGAAGGAAGCACCCAGTTAGTCAACTCTTAAGACATGCTTGTTGGGATGCAGTGGGTCTGTTTGTCTTCCCACAATGGGGCCCTGGAACCCACATGGGAATACAGTCAAACTAACACAGGGCCCAGAGCTCAACTATCCAGATGTAATGTGTCAGATGTCCATTTCTCATCCATCTCTGTCCGCTATCCGTGTGGATGGCTTAATAGTTATAAATGTATACTTTCATAATTCCAGCATACATGATTACATTCTTTTCTCTGTTTTGGAGAGAAAACGAATAAATCCATTGCATTTCATAGCAGACTGGCCATTTAGAAAGCAGTGGCAGAATCTACTAAAAATTATCTAAATAAACCAAAAAGCCAACACATCGTGAGACTGGATTATGACACTGTGTAAAGGATATGTAGCTCACATATGTGTGGTCTGTCCCCTTGCTGCCCTTTGTACATAATTTGAACTCATTGACTAATCTGTTGACAGGAAGACATGTACGTGGAGGAGGTCAAAATCGACAGCCGTCTCCATCCTCGTATCATCGGTGCACGTGGTCGAGGCATCAACAAACTCATGCAGGATTTCAACGTAGACGTGCGCTTTCCTCGAACTGGCGACCCTGACCCCAATATTGTGACAATCTCTGGCGCTGAAGATAACGTTCTGGACTGTAAGGAATCTTTGCTCAACATGGAGGAGGAGTTTGTAAGTTTGTCTGTTATGTGTCAGTATCTGTCTGTTAGGTGAATGTCTATCTGTTGTGTCAGTGTCTGTCTGTTGTGTCAGTATCTGTCTGTTGTGTCAGTGTCTGTCTGTTGTGTCAGTATCTGTCTGTTGTGTCAGTGTCCGTCTGTTGTGTCAGTATCTGTCTGTTGTGTCAGTGTCTGTCTGTTGTGTCTGTCTGTTGTGTCAGTATCTGTCTGTTGTGTCAGTGTCTGTTGTGTCAGTGTCTGTCTGTTGTGTCAGTGTCTGTCTGTTGTGTCAGTGTCTGTCTGTTGTGTCAGTGTCTGTCTGTTGTGTCAGTGTCTGTCTGTTGTGTCAGTGTCTGTCTGTTGTGTCAGTGTCCGTCTGTTGTGTCAGTGTCCGTCTGTTGTGTCAGTGTCCGTCTGTTGTGTCAGTGTCCGTCTGTTGTGTCAGTGTCTGTCTGTTGTGTCAGTGTCTGTCTGTTGTGTCAGTGTCCGTCTGTTGTGTCAGTGTCCGTCTGTTGTGTCAGTGTCCGTCTGTTGTGTCAGTGTCCGTCTGTTGTGTCAGTGTCCGTCTGTTGTGTCAGTGTCCGTCTGTTGTGTCAGTGTCCGTCTGTTGTGTCAGTGTCCGTCTGTTGTGTCAGTGTCCGTCTGTTGTGTCAGTGTCCGTCTGTTGTGTCAGTGTCCGCCTGTTGTGTCAGTGTCCGCCTGTTGTGTCAGTGTCCGCCTGTTGTGTCAGTGTCCGCCTGTTGTGTCAGTGTCCGCCTGTTGTGTCAGTGTCCGCCTGTTGTGTCAGTGTCCGCCTGTTGTGTCAGTGTCCGCCTGTTGTGTCAGTGTCCGTCTGTTGTGTCAGTGTCCGTCTGTTGTGTCAGTGTCCGTCTGTTGTGTCAGTGTCCGTCTGTTGTGTCAGTGTCCGTCTGTTGTGTCAGTGTCCGTCTGTTGTGTCAGTGTCCGTCTGTTGTGTCAGTGTCCGTCTGTTGTGTCAGTGTCCGTCTGTTGTGTCAGTGTCCGTCTGTTGTGTCAGTGTCCGTCTGTTGTGTCAGTGTCCGTCTGTTGTGTCAGTGTCCGTCTGTTGTCAGTGTCCGTCTGTTGTGTCAGTGTCTGTCTGTTGTGTCAGTGTCTGTCTGTTGTGTCAGTGTCTGTCTGTTGTGTCAGTGTCTGTCTAAGTGTCACTGTCTGTTGTGTTAGCGTCTGTCATGTCTTATGTCAGGGGCTGCATGTCATATATATGACATGTTTGTTGTGTCAGTGTCTGTCTATCATGTCACTGTCATTCATGTCTTATGTTGGTGTCCGTCCGTCATATGTCGGTGTCTGACTGTTATGTCGGTGTATGTTATGTCGGTGTCCGACTGTTATGTCGGTGTCTGACTGTTATGTCGGTGTCTGACTGTTTTGTCGGTGTCCAACTGTTATGTCAGTGTATGTTATGTTGGTGTCCGACTGTTATGTCGGTGTATGTTATGTCGGTGTCCGACTGTTATGTCGGTGTCCGACTGTTATGTCGGTGTCCGACTGTTATGTCGGTGTCCGACTGTTATGTCGGTGTCCGACTGTTATGTCGGTGTCCGACTGTTATGTCGGTGTCCGACTGTTATGTCGGTGTCCGACTGTTATGTCGGTGTCCGACTGTTATGTCGGTGTCCGACTGTTATGTCGGTGTCCGACTGTTATGTCCGTGTCCGACTGTTATGTCGGTGTTTGACTGTTATGTCAGTATGACTGCTGTGGAAGAGAGATGAGCAATGGGCAAGGCTGATATGATGAATGAGAAGTCCGACACGTACAAGAATCAGATGGTGAATTTGCAACCGTGATCAGGCTAAAGCACTCTGAAGGAAACCAAAGAAGAATCAGAAATCAACAGAGAACTGGTGTTTGTCAACCACTGCTCGCTGTGGGATTTACTAAGGGGGGATCAGATCACTTATGGGCTCGCTGAATGGCTCAGTGTGCTGTGAGAATCTTCTTCTTTTCTTCACATTCACCGGCTGTAAACTCTGGTGGAAAGTCCTGGTTATTTGTCCACCTTTGGACATTAGTCTTGTTTCCAAACCTGGGTGTTGTGTGCACATCCGTTTTACAGATCTGTACTTGTTTGCAGATTGTTGGTTCCTTGCCTCTTCTTCTTCACGGATGTGCTTGTTTGCGAGGCAGTTGGTCAGTTCTCTCCTGATGAATATACTAACTCAGGACCTTTATTCCAGCAATGAAATTTCAATGTGATAAATCACTGACTAACTACATAAATAGAACATATTTTGTTTGTCTGCGGAAAGCAAATTACATAAAAGAACATATTTTGCTAGTGTTCTGAAAGGGCAAATTACATAAATAGAAACAATTTTGCTTGTTTGCTGTGAAAGGGCAAATTACCTAAACTTGACATTTTTTGCTAGTGTTCTGAAAGAGCAAATTACATTAATAGAACAGATTTTGCTTATTTTCTGTGAAAGAGCAAATTACCTGAACGGGACATTTTTTGCTTGTGTGCTGAAAGAGATCTTTTTCTATTGCAGCTCCAGGACTTTGTTGATCAGGAGTACCTACGAGATCTTCAGCGACCTCCCAGCAAGAGTGCATCTGCTCCGTCTGCCCCGCGGGAGGCCACTCCAGGCTTTGTGGTCACAGGAGCCCCATGGGACCGAGCCCCGGACACCAGCAGTCAGGAGGAGTTTCCAACCTTCGGGGCCGTGGTGGCCCCCAAAGGCCGTTCTTGGGGTCCAATCAGAAAGTGAAAAGAGGGGAGCTCAACTTCATTCCTGAGTGGTGTAGTCACGAGATATCACCTGTTAGTTGCATGTCCTGGCTTGGTTGATCTTGTGTGAAACTTTAAAGTGTGCGACATTTGATTGGAAGCTTAGGGTGGCATCCGACAAATGGTGACAATTCTTGGTGTGGTCTGTGACGAGTCTTTGTGTTGTCTGCGACAAGTTGTGACAATTCTTGGCAACAAATAATGTTTGGCATTAGAAACATGCTCTTCGGAAGAAATATTTTATTAGAATGTAAATCAGATCTTGCTTTTTGTTTTATGACTGTTAATGCAGTAGGATGATATACCAGTTTGGACGTGTTTACAGTTGTTTTACAAACCTCATTTGACAGAAACTTTGCTAAATGACTGTTCCATTGTATGTATGTGTGTATGCAAGAGAACTGGTGTATCAAACCACAGTGCAATGTGCAGATCCATCCAGCTTTCAGTGAAACTTCTAAAGACAAATTACATATGCTATTTAAAAAAAAAAGCATAATAGTTATCCAATGGTGCTTTCCCTTTAAAAAAAAAGAAACACATCGTTATCCCATAGCACATCGATGACCTAGATGGAAAAGAATTGTTAATTGATTAGTTGAACCCCAAGTTATTATTGAGTGATAAAGATTATATTCCGCTCAGTAGCTATGTGTGTTTTTTTTTTAAGTAGTCAAGCACCGTTGGATATCTGCACTTCATTTTGTTTTCAACAGTATATTTTAACTGCCATGCAAAAAAAAAAAGTTAACATTCATAAAAATGTACCCTGAAAAGCGAAGTTAAAGGCGGCAAAGCAAGTGGTTGGTACTGATACAAGCGGAAAGATAGCGTCAGGAGATTAACAGCAGTATGGCTAAAGGTACTGTCAGAGCTGTTTTGTCTATTGAAACCAGACTGCAGTTGATTGATCTGTTCCATTATATTGTGTCTGAATATACCAGTTCTCTTACACGTATATGTTATCTGTTGTTTCTTCTTTGGGGTCTGGGAATGTTGTGATTGGTTGGATATGTGCGCTTCAGTGGTGTGACTTGTTACCTTGTTTGTGATTGGTTGGATATGTGCGCTTCAGTGGTGTGACTTGTTACCTTGTTTGTGATTGGTTGGATATGTGCGCTTCAGTTGTGTAACTTGTTACCTAATTTGTTATTGGTTGGAAATGGGAATAACATTCGGATGTCTGTGGTAGGTGTCCGATGTTGTCATTGCGGCATCTGACTGAAGTATTGCATCTGGCATTAGATGTGAAATTTGAGCTGAAAATAAAATTTATAAGACCTGTTGTGACAGTTGACACTGTCAGGTACATGGAACATGACACTGTCAGGTACATGGAACATGACACTGTCAGGTACATGGAACATGTCACTGTCCGCTACATGGAACATGACACTGTCAGCTACATGGAACATGACACAGTCAGCTACATGGAACATGACACAGTCAGCTACATGGAACATGACACAGTCAGCTACATGGAACATGACACAGTCAGCTACATGGAACATGACACAGTCCGCTACATGGAACATGACACTGTCAGCTACATGGAACACGACACTGTCAGCTACATGGAACACGACACTGTCAGCTACATGGAACATGACACTGTCAGCTACATGGAACATGACACTGTCAGCTACATGGAACATGACTAGTCAGCTACATGGAACATGACACAGTCAGCTACATGGAACATGACCAGTCAGCTACATGGAACATGACCAGTCAGCTACATGGAACATGACACTGTCAGCTACATGGAACATGACACTGTCAGCTACATGGAACATGACACAGTCAGCTACATGGAACATGACACTGTCAGCTACATGGAACATGACACTGTCAGCTACATGGAACATGACACTGTCAGCTACATGGAACATGACACAGTCAGCTACATGGAACATGACACAGTCAGCTACATGGAACACGACACTGTCAGCTACATGGAACATGACACTGTCAGCTACATGGAACATGACACTGTCAGCTACATGGAACATGACACTGTCAGCTACATGGAACATGACACAGTCCGCTACATGGAACATGACACTGTCAGCTACATGGAACACGACACTGTCAGCTACATGGAACACGACACTGTCAGCTACATGGAACATGACACTGTCAGCTACATGGAACATGACACTGTCAGCTACATGGAACATGACTAGTCAGCTACATGGAACATGACACAGTCAGCTACATGGAACATGACCAGTCAGCTACATGGAACATGACCAGTCAGCTACATGGAACATGACACTGTCAGCTACATGGAACATGACACTGTCAGCTACATGGAACATGACACAGTCAGCTACATGGAACATGACACAGTCAGCTACATGGAACATGACACTGTCAGCTACATGGAACATGACACAGTCAGCTACATGGAACATGACACAGTCAGCTACATGGAACATGACACAGTCAGCTACATGGAACATGACACTGTCAGCTACATGGAACATGACACTGTCAGCTACACGGAACATGACACTGTCAGCTACACGGAACATGACACTGTCAGCTACACGGAACATGACACAGTCAGCTACACGGAACATGACACAGTCAGCTACACGGAACATGACACAGTCAGCTACATGGAACATGACACAGTCAGCTACATGGAACATGACACAGTCAGCTACATGGAACATGACACAGTCAGCTACATGGAACATGACACAGTCAGCTACATGGAACATGACACAGTCAGCTACATGGAACATGACACTGTCAGCTACATGGAACATGACACTGTCAGCTACATGGAACATGACACTGTCAGCTACATGGAACATGACACAGTCAGCTACATGGAACATGACACAGTCAGCTACATGGGGGGGGGGGTGGTTCTGGAAGACATATTCAACACTGAGGAGGGAAACGTTGGTGGCCTTTTAATCAGGTCTTGCAGCTGGTACTTTAAACCTACCGTCTCTTCCTTAGCTACTGAAGAAGGGGACGGAGCATGTATGGGAATGTCTCGAGTGCAGTGATGTCAGTTCTGAGTGGCAGATGTTCTGAGCAAGTTTCCTCAGTTTTCTTTCACTCGACCCCTCACACACCCGCATCCACTCCATACCTTCCTGTTATGCATGCACGCACACACATTCTCCCACCTCCCCTCATACACACATGTATCGACTCACCACCTTCCTGTTACGCATACACACACTCTCTCTCTCTCTCTCTTTCTCTCTCTCTCTCTCCACACAGATAATCTATTGCTGCAAGTCAGAAGCAATAATCATCATGTGCTGTCTTGGTAAGCCTATTCTTTCCTGTTTCGCCTGCTCACATGATCACCAGAATCACGGATCAGTTCAGTGTTTTTGTCTCTGCCACATCCATTTGGCCAGGCCATCCAGGTTTTTATCTCTTTGCCTTTCTCTTGCTTTTTCCCTCATGAAGATTCATGAGTTGTGAATTTATGGCTATTCTTCAGGAAGAAGGTAGTTTGCCATTGCTTTCTTTCTTGGCAGTAACCAAACTACCCTGTGACCCCCACAGCAGTGCAGTGGAAGAATGAGGATTGAGAAATGTTGTGCAGTTGTAAAGAGTTGGGTTGTTACTGTAAGTAACAAGTAACGGACCCTTTTCAGCACTTTCAGGCATATAGGGCTAGACCTGTATATTATAGACCAGTCAAGGCTGTATGGGTGGTGTGGTCAGAATCATGCCGTACTGTAGGTAGTATATTTATGTTGTGTATGTTTGAGACTTAGTTACAGTTCTTGGTTATGTTAAATCCATAAAAGTCGGATGTTAGGGACAGGACAGCGTATCCAAACGAGTCATATGTTAGTGACAGGACTGCACATCCAAATAAAAGAAAATGTTAGTCATCCATTGGGCAGACAATGACCTTGGGTGACCTTCCACTTCTGATGTCATAAATGTTGCAGAAAGTGATAGTTGTTAAAAACCTGCCTGTTTGGCATTGCTAATGTTGTGAGCAAGTCGTACAGAACATAATTTTGTGTGTGTATTTTACCCATTTTTGAAAACGTACACATTGGTTTGGCCAGTTTTTTCCCCTTTAAATATTTTGCATGTATGCCAGACTGTTGCTGCCTCCTTTTTTGTTGTCTCATAATTTGGTATGGGACCAAATGACACTAGCTGTGTGAGTAGACTATTGTTTCAGTGGCATCCACTGCTCTCCCATCCTCAACTGCAACAATAAGAATTGGTAATCATTTAGATCTGATTGAATCTCCCCTTCCAGTCAGTGTTAACTTGTTATTAATTCAGAAGTTTTGGCAGAAAATGCTCAAAAAGGAAAATTTTATAAATGCTAATCACAGCAGGTGTGGCCAGATTTCATGAGTATGATCTGACCAAATGTAAGATGTCAGAGAACACATTATTCCTGTGGCTTGACTCGCAAGGATTAGCCTATAACACACTTTCCTTTGTTTGGGATTAGAAGATTAAGTGCTCTATTCCCTTCCCCTTTCTGGTTTTATTTCAGCCAAACTAGTCCATGCATTTTTTGTTTCAATATAGCCAAAATGTGCCCAGAATCCATTTGTTTGTACATACACTATGTAGTCATGCCATCCTTGTATGTTTAATATGTTGTTTAGTTTCACTGTCTTGTTTCCTGCGTATGTTTGCACCCAGTACAACAATATATGCAATGTATATTTTATTTCGATTCATTATCTCCCCTTTGTCTTTTGTTGTCTAAACTTGCAGTTTCCTGCAGCTTTTGTTTTTGCCATTCTTGTCCGGACTTTGGGCTTCATTGAAAACAAGAGCATTCCTTAGCCGCACAGGATTGCTGCTGGCACCAGGTTGGTGTGACAGTTATAGTTGTCCTGGTTATCACTTCTTTGGTGGTTCAACTGGGTTGAAATTGAGATTTGTTGGGCTGCAAACCGGGGTTTGACTCTTCGAGTCACAGGGGTGGTCACACCTTTAGCTAGCAGCCCGGCGGGGGGGGGGAGGGGGGGGGTGGGTGGGTGGGGCATAGACATACAGTTTGGAGAAACCACGGCCACCCTGACAAGCATGTCATCAAAGTCAGCTAATTGAGGGTGTTTCCTTCAATGTCCAAGAGCATCTGTCTGTACACAGATCTGTCAAACAGATGTGCAGGCGAGACTTAGGTTCAGACATTGACAAACAACCAGAAATTTGTGCTGGAGTTAGTTTACTGTCAGTGAACATGTAGAAGTAGTAGTAGTAGTAGTAGTAGTAGTTAGTTGTTCCATGTACTCCTGCCACCCTGCATTTACTGTGCCTCTTCTTCTGCAGAAAGAAACAATCTCTGGTAACTGGGTCTAGCTGGTAACATTGTGACAAGTAACAACAGACACATGATTTTCAGAAAAATAAAATGACAATGGACAGGTTGGTGTCGTGACTTAGGGGTTGTGAGCATGGTTTCATAATTCTGACAATTGGTTTTCTTCTTCTTCTTCTTCGCGTTCACCAGCTGTAAACTCTGGCGAAAGGTTCTGGTTGCTCATCCACTACAGAACTGCAGTCCTGCTCCAGAACCTGAGTGTTGCGTTTGCATCAGTTTTACAGATCTCATTCTCTTGAATACAGACTGTTGGTTCCTTGCCTCTCCGGCAGATGCACTCCGACTTCAAAGGAAGCTCCCCAATTAGTCGACTCTTACGACATGCTTTTGGGGAGGCAGTGGGTCTATTCTTGTTTTCCCCACAATGGGGCCCCGGAACCCACACGGGGGACACTTGGTTTTGATTCAGTTGCCGGTTATTTGGCATACGGTTTTCTGTTGAATGTGATCATGTTATAAAAATTGGCAGTTGAGAAGACAATGGCAAACTACTGAGTGTAAAATGTCCTTGTAAAGTCAGAAATAATAAGTAAATATCAGGGTTGTATTGGGGTTTTTTGCTGTGAGAGTTCAATATTTGCACCTCTTCACCGACACTCCTGACTTTTTTTTGAGAGCCATTTAGTTAGGACACATTCTCGTTTCGGCACATAGGAAGAGCCCTTTTGTTCTTTGTTTCTGTGTGTATGTTGATATTTGTTATTTTATAGTTGATCAGTCGTGCATGGAGAGCCTGTGTTAAATAATAAATCCTTATGTCAAGTTTCATAGTGGTCAGTAAATATATTTGTTTTTCCCCCATTGTCATGGATGGCGGAATCCATTTGGTATCCATGGATGGTGGAATCCATCTGGTATCCACAGAGTTGGCCATGAAATAGAGCAGGGATGTTCAACTAAGTTTACTCAGGTACCAAAATTGGGACTGCTCATTCTGACACTCCTCTTCGTCAAGGAGTTGTGGCCCATGAAGCTGCTAGAACTGCAGCAGCAATGCAGAAAAGACAAGCCAGGAAAGACACTGAAGCAAATCATCAGAGAGATGTGGTTTCTATTTCCTGTCTATATTTATCAAGAACTTTCAGTGCTAGAACTGGCCTATCAACCATCTGCGCACTCACAAACCCTAACCCAGTCACCATTGGATGAAAGGAGTGGTCATCCTCACGAGTGATGGATGAACAACAACAACAACCAAAATGTGCAAATGGAGATCTTCACACAATTGAGCCCCAGCATAGAATAGTCATTACTTTAATAATATAATTGGCAATCATCTTCTTCTTCTTCTTGTTCACCCACTGTAAACTACATTGGAAAGTTCTGGTTGTTCATCCACTTCTGGACTGTATTCTTGTTTCAGAACTTTAATTTTTGCAAACCTATCCGTTTTATGGAACTGGCGTATCTATAATGTAAACTGTTGGTTTCTTGTCTCTAAGGCAGATGTACTTTGTCTTCGATGGAAACATCCCAAATTAGTCAACTTCAATGACAAGCCTGTAACTTGCAGCTCTTGTCCCATAATACTTGTGGATGCTGTGCCCCTAACGACTGTAAAATAACAGTTCTCTCCCCTGTATGGACTTTATTGCTACATCTCATTGTTTCCGTAAACGTGTGTGTGTGTGTGTGTGTGAGACCCTGGTGGTTGTATTACAGAGCTGCGGAGTGTGTGGTTTGTGCTCTGTTGTATATAAACACTAAATGAAAAATTTGAATTTGTTTCGAGCAGAGAGTTGGTAGACGGTTGCAGATGAGCGGTTGCGAGAGTGGCTGGCTGCGGCTGTTATAGGGTTGCATGCTTGATTGTTCGGCCAGCAAACTTTGTCTCAAGGACATACATTTCTGTTGAAACAAAGAATCTTTGTGCTAATGGTTTCCTCTCCAACATGGCAGATGAAATAAATGACATACTTTTGGAACGGTTTCTTGTGTTTAATTGAAGAATATCCAGTTGCGTTTAATTGAGAAATGTCCCACATGTGTTTTGAGGAATGCCCTGCGTGTGTTTGATTGAAGAATGTCCCAAATAAGTTTAATTAATTCTGAAATTAATTGAGGAATGTTCTGTTTCTGTTTAATTAAGGAATGTCCTGCTTGTGTTTGATTGAGGAATGTTCTGTCTCTGTTTAATTAAGGAATGTTCAGTTTCTGTTTAATTAAGGAATGTTCAGTTTCTGTTTAATTAAGGAATATCCTGTTTGTGTTTAATTAAGAAATGTCCTGTTTGTATTTAATTGAGGAATGTCCTGTTTGTATTTAATTGAGGAATGTCCTGTTTGTATTGAATTGAGGAATGTCCTGTTTAATTGAGGAATGACACAGTTCCTGACATGAACATACGACTTTCAGATGGCATGACAAAGGGCTTGGTCTTTTTGCTTTGAAGATTCCACATCTCAGAGATCGAAGAGGCTGAATTGGGACGACAACCACCTCCAACATTGGACATCTTTGCACCAGCAAACTGTGGTATTCCTGCACTTTGTAATCTCAAAAATAATTATTGAGAAGGGGAGACAACTCTTGGTTAAGAATCCATATTTCTCAATTCCTTCCTTCCTTTTTTTTTCACCTATTGGCTGATACCTGAATGGTTTTGTTTTTGTCTTCGTCCTTCTGTCAAAAGCCTTATATTAGGAGACCGGTCAATGTTATGAAAGTTTTCTCTTGTGTCCTGCGCCCATCTTCGTGCTGGTCGGCCCCTGCCCTTTTACCCGGTTCTATGCCCTCTTCTACTATTACCAGACAGCCATTTATCAAAGTCTTCTTCTTTACGTTGGCTGGCTTTAAACTGCAGGGAAAAGTCCTGGTTGTTCATTTACTTTTGAACCTTCATTGTTTTGTAGAGAGCTTAAGCAAATTACAGACATGGCTTATTTGTATGCAGACTGTTGGTTCTTCGTCTCTCAGGCAGATGCATTCCGAATTTGAAGGCACTTTCTCGGTTTGAAGTCTGGTAAACCACGTCGGTGCAGTCTTACAGGTCAAGACAGGAGACGTCATTAGTCAGTAGGGGTACCTTAGGCTGGCTGCTGCATCGGAGGACTAAGCACGCATAGGAATGCCCAATGTGCAGTGACGTCGATTGTGATAACATCATCACCATCATCAAGTACCTTGCCGACTGGCTTGGGCGATCACCCTTCACAATCTCTGATCTTCAACAGTCTGTATTATTTCGTGTGCCGACACCCCTCAATGCCAAACCAACAGATTATAACGACATACTACAGCCCGCCATTTCTCGTGAATGTAAAACACGATCTGGCTGAGAATGTTCAGCTAGAGTGAAGGGAGAGATCGTGGTCTAACAATTTTTTTTTTAATCTCCAACTTCAAGCATGAGGATAGAAATATGAGCAGTCACTGCAGTTCTGAAGTGGAAAACAGAAAATACAGTAACCAGAGGAATGATGGTGTCTGAAATGCTATAGAAAGATTCTCAGAATATCTTGGACAAAGAAGAGGAGAAATACTGACATTTTGAAAGATCTGAACATCAAGGAAGATTGGCTAATAAACAGCATCCTGTCTCGGAAGCTGAAATATTTTGATCTTATCAAGCGCCAAGACGGATTTGGAAAAAAATTATAGCAGAGGGCATGGTACCAGGAAGGAGGGGCAGGGGCCGACTGACACGAAGATGGGCAGGGGATATAAGTGACTCCTTCAGTATGAAAGTACATGAGGTGGGAGAACTGGCGAAAGACCGAGTTTCTTTAAGGCAGACTGTGATGAGAGCAAAGTTCTGCAAAGGACCTGCTACATGATGATGATTCCCAAATAGACAAATGTGGTATGGGTGGAGACCAACCACTAGCAGGCCAACATGACAGTGACACGAGGGTATACTCACCGGGCAATGCAGGGGTTCGAGGACACGAAAGTGGGTTTTTTTTTTTCCCATACAAAAGCGTGTGCTTTATTAATATCCTACCCCAAACAGGGAAAATTCACAAGTCACTGGACAGTCTAAAATTTTAGGGTGTGGTAGATAGGCTGCATGCAGTCGTAAGGACTAGGCTGCACTCTCTCGAGGGACATAGTTAGGTTGGGGTTAGGGCCAGTTATAGATGTTTTCAGGTCGCCAAAAGCATCAGAAAGCTGGGAAACCCGGTCTTACTACCCTCTATAATGTTGGACTATCATGTGACATCCTATGGGGGTGGGATATTAATAAAGCACCCAAAAGCGATACTATGCGAACACACAATGGACTAGAAGGATACTGTGAAAGCTATTTATGAAAGAAAACTGCTAGAAGGCACTAGGTTAGATGAAATAGCATATGTACATTTATGTGAATGAGGAAGTAGGCGTGGGTGGATGCGACCAGGAGGGACGGATGAGAGGAAGTGAATGGCGAGTTTATAGTTAGTTTCCTACGGGAATAGTTAGCATTTACACCTTAATACATTTGTTGTGGGAGACGAAGCAGCTATGCGTGTGCCCAGTGTTTTAATGATGTCGGTTCTCAATTTAGTATTCAGTAAAATTACGATTAGAAAATTGCGAAGTGGTGAGATCACGATTGTGTACGACAGACCGGAAATAGAGAAAACTGTTGTATCACTTCTAGTGGAGAAGAGAAGAAATTGAACGGAGATAAACTTTTATTAAAAATGCCAGATCATCTCGGCTCTGATCAACGGAAGGTCAAAGACAAGGAAGGAGAGGAGGAGAAACCAATTCAATGTAAGTTTGCATGTAGTATCTCTCTTTTCGTGTTACCACATATTTTGAATTTTCCAACACGAACGGGTCGAACGTCTCAGAAGAATGATCAAGAATAGTTAGTCTTAATTTTTAAATTTTGACTAAAATTCCTATTAGAATGGGTCCTTCAAGTCAGTTCATTCATCAGTACTCACTCGCTGTCAGCCGTCGGATCTGTCTAAAACTAAAACCGCTCATTAACGGGAGACAGAGACCATGGCTTTTTTTTTTCTGCCGGTATGCAACGGTACTCAGTACCGACACCTTTTTCAGGGCATGATTTTGTTCCTCACCGTTGTAAAAGACGCTTTGTGATTGTGGTGAGTACCGGCACCCAGTTGTCTTGTTAAAAAAGTCCTGGAAGAGACTAGACTGAGACGAAATAATATTGAAATATTCCATTGTCTAATTGTAGAGAAAACGAGAATAGATACCCTGCCTCCCTAACAAGCATGTTGTAAGAGTCGACTAATTTGGAGTTTCCTTCAGAGTCTCCTTAGGAGGCAAGGAATCACGTCCGCATAACAAATAAGCCAGATCTGTAACGTAACACAGATGTGCACACAACACTCAGGTTCTGGAACAGTCCAGAAGTAGCGAATAACCAGAACTTTCCACTGGAGTTTACACTTCCGGTTAAAATGGACGCTAGACACCGGCGCTGTTCGAAGCAGAGGCAAATTTTTTGCTTCTGCCGGACGGTGGCCAAAGTATTTTTGCTCCATTTGTAGACTGGATATAGTTTAGTCGCCCAGCTTCTGAGCTGAATGCATGGCGTGACCCTGTGACAAAATACATTCCAAATGCAATCCGCAGCTCACAGGGTCACGTGTGTATAGCAAACATATCTTGACTGACTACTTCTATCAGTGTCAGACTGTATTTCTTGTGCTGAATGTTAGATTTGATGCCCCCTGCCAACTGTTTTATGCATTTACTCCGTGGCATGCGGATATTTCCGGATTGCGCCGGGACTCATTTTTCACCAGTCTTTTAAATGTGACAGGGAGGGACACTTCAGTTTTGATTGTCACTGGCACAGGAACGGAGCAAATACGGGGTGATCTGATTGCAGTGAGGTTGAAACCTTAACTAAGACTAATTTGTATTATACTTTTAAACTCATTTATTAAGAGATTTGAAAAAAAACGAGGGGCTATCCTCCGAATAACGGTCCTAAATTATCGAGGTGGGAAATATACCCTAACAGGGCCTTAGTCACATGTCAATTGCGCACTTCCGGCAAATTCCGCCACCGCCGAGAGTATCCCCCACGCCTCATGAACGGCGCGGATTGGGGCTAAACTAGCAGCTACCGCATCTCCTGCAGCTTCCTTCATTTTATTTATCGTGAGTGTCCTAGCCATCTAGTTTAGCCCCAATCCACGCCGCATGAGAGGCCTGGGGGATACTCTGGGCGGCAGCGGTATAGTCCCTAGAAGTGCGCAATTGACACCTGACTGAGGCCCTGTTAGGGTATATTTTCCACCTTGATAGTTTAGGACCGTTATTCGGAGGATAGCCAAATGAGGAATTGCAAAAACCAAAGTGTTTTAACTTAGAGTTGTTTGTTATCAAACTGAATGAGACCACTGTAATAAACTGATATATAACGTTCACACATATCTGTGTAACTGTCCTTGTAGTTCCAGCTGCTGCTCATGTTCTTTCTCCCACTCTCCTTGCTTCTGCTTTCCTCACTCCTCCTGACCAGTTCAATTTGAGTTGTATATTTATATTTTCATGACAATGTTTATCTGTCTGTATTCTCATGGTCATTTTCTTTTGTATTTTTGTAATTAACAGCTCTGGATGAAGGTGATATTGCATTGCTGAAAACCTATGTAAGTTTTTACACATCGAAGACTGTTGTCTTGTCATTGATTCTGTGTGACCTGTATGTCATAGACTTGTCCTGTCATTGATTCTGTGTGACCTGCACGTCATATACTGTTGTCCTATCATTGATTCTGTGTGACCTGTATGTCATAGACTTGTCCTATCATTGATTCTGTGTGACCTGTATGTCATAGACTTGTCCTATCATTGATTCTGTGTGACCTGTATGTCATAGACTTGTCCTATCATTGATTCTGTGTGACCTGCACGTCATAGATTGTTGTCCTGTCATTGATTCTGTGTGACCTGAACATCATATACTTTTGTCCTGTCATTGATTCTGTGTGACCTGCACGTCATAGATTGTTGTCCTGTCATTGATTCTGTGTGACCTGAACATCATATACAGTTGTCCTGTGATTGATTCTGTGTGACCTGAACATCATATACTGTTGTGGCACAGTCGTGCCTATACATCCCTCAAGAAATAGATGTGCCTAGTTCGGCCAAGGGTGAATGAATATAGTTCGTAGCTCTCTTCAATCGTATTTAAGAACAAGGCCAGTGATGTAACAATTACACAAGAGTTGGTTTATTCACAATATTCTCGTCACACAGACTTCATAAATTCAATAAGCAATAGTATATGAAATGTTTGTTATCTTGTAACTATCTATTCTTATGTCTCTCTACGAGTTACTCAATCACTGTTCTAGCTAAACTCCAAGTTTAACATATCCTTCTAAACGAAGTACAGTACTAGTTTTCTTCTAACCGGTTTCTCTCGCGGTCCAGCCCTAACTGTCGTCTCAAGCGGTTCCGGGGCTAACTCACTTCTCAAGCCCCTGGCTCTGACTTTATTCTCCTGCTTTCCCACTCTTTCTGGCGTACCTTCTCCATCATTCCCCTGTCACCTGTCTTTGGTGGTCACGTTTGGATGAACGTATCTCTGCAGCTGGTCACAGTGCATGTGCTTGCTCACGGGCACTCGTTGAATGTTTTATCCCTCACTGTCAGATGTCATGGCGGTTATCGTGTAGATGTTCTGCGTAGCTGGCTAGGCCATGGCTTTCTAATCACCCATTTCTGTCATTTCACACAGTGATGGATTAGTACGCCGTGTGGTGGTCTGAAATGTACGCTTTGTTCATTTAACCCCTTTCTGCCTATATTTCGTTACACTGTTGTCCTGTCATTGATTCTGTGTGACCTGCACGACATATACAGTTGTCCTGTCATTGATTCTGTGTGACCTGAACATCATAGACTGTTGTCCTGTCATTGATTCTGTGTGACCTGAACATCATAGACTGTTGTCCTGTCATTGATTCTGTGTGACCTGAACATCATATACTGTTGTCCTATCATTGATTCTGTGTGACCTGCACGTCATATACAGTTGTCCTGTAATTGATTCTGTGTGACCTGAACATCATAGACTGTTGTCCTGTCATTGATTCTGTGTGACCTGAACATCATAGACTGTTGTCCTGTCATTGATTCTGTGTGACCTGCATGTCATATACAGTTGTCCTGTCATTGATTCTGTGTGAACTGCATGTCATAGACTGTTGTCCTGTCATTGATTCTGTGTGACCTGCACGTCATATACAGTTGTCCTGTCATTGATTCTGTGTGATCTGAACATCATAGACTGTTGTCCTGTCATTGATTCTGTGTGACCTGCACGTCATATACAGTTGTCCTGTCATTGATTCTGTGTGACCTGCACGTCATATACAGTTGTCCTGTCATTGATTCTGTGTGACCTGCACGTCATATACAGTTGTCCTGTCATTGATTCTGTGTGACCTGCATGTCATATACAGTTGTCCTGTCATTGATTCTGTGTAACCTGCACGCACGTCATATACAGTTGTCCTGTCATTGATTCTGTGTGACCTGCACGTCATATACAGTTGTCCTGTCATTGATTCTGTGTGACCTGCACGTCATATACAGTTGTCCTGTCATTAATTCTGTGTGACCTGCACGTCATGGAAGTTAGCTGGAACAGACTGGGGGGCAAACCTCAATGTCCTTAAGAGGACCTATACAGGCTATGTGAGGCCAACACTAGAATATGGAATAGCTGCTTGGGGCACAGCAGCTAAATCAAATTTTCAAAAAGTCTCAAAGATCCAAAACCATGCTTTCCGTATTATGACAGGGGCAATGCGCTCCACGCCCATATCAGATATGGAAACAATTACTGGTCTCCATAATCTGGAAGATAGGAGAGACACAAAGATCCTCACCCAGCTCTCCAAATACCACCACTTTCAAGAACAACCCATGTACAGCCGACTGCAGAAACCCCAGAAGGCTAGACTAAAGAGAACTTGCTTTATTAAGAACGCAAATGCCAAGCTCGCTGTCCTTAAACTCCCTCCCATAATACCAAATGTTCCACTTAAACCTTACAACGACTGCCCCGCTTGGCTTAGGGATAGCCTACCAACAGTCAGAACCACTGTAACAGGGGTCTCCTCCAAATCATCAATGAGCAGCACTGATATGAAATCAACTACAGAAGGAGAGATCAATAGACTTTACCCACACCAAAGTTGGATTCGAGTGTATACAGATGGTTCAGCCAAGAGAGCAGTAAGAGACGGAGGAGGAGGAATATACATAGAATGCCCAAATGGTTTAAAAATCAACCAGGCTGTACCAACAGGTCATATTCCTCCAATTACAGAGCAGAGGCAGAAGCACTTCTAGCGGCATGTTCTTTCCTGAATGGACAACAGCACAGCAAATATAGCAGAGTGGTCTTTCTGACTGATGCTATGTCAGTTCTACAAGCAATTGTTAACCCTAAAGACACTCAGTTTGTAGACTTGACGCAACAGCTGATTTACTTAGGCTCTTCAGTAGAACAATCTGTACTGCAGTGGATTCCAGGTCACTGTGGCTTGGAAGGCAATGAAATAGCGGACAGATTAGCCAGAAGCGGCAGTGACATGGTACAACCAAATAGCGACTTAACCCACCAAGAGATGAAAACACTAATACAATCTAGTATCCAAGAAAGGTGGCTGGATACCCACACCAGATTTTCTCCCCAAGACTCACTTCATCGCCTCTCTAGAGAGGGGCAGTCTATTATATTCAGACTAAGGACAGGGCACAACAGATTTCGTCAACATATGTTCAAATTTTTCGGTGTAGGAAATACGGAGATGTGTCCTTGCAGCGTGGCACCCGAAAATGCTGAGCATGTGCTCCAACACTGTCAACTGTATGCTGACAACAGAGACGCAATCTGGCCTGTTCCAACCACAATAAAGACAAAACTGTATGGTACACAAGAGGATATGGATTGCACGATAGCTTTCATAAAGGCTACCGGCCTCCTGATATAAGTTTTCTGACAGAAGGATCGAAGAAGAAGAAGAAGATAGACTGTTGTCCTGTCATTGATTCTGTTTGACCTGCACATCATAGACTGTTGTCCTGTCATTGATTCTGTGTGACCAGCACATTATATACTGTTGTCCTGTCATTGATTCTGTGTGACCAGCAGGGGGTAGGCTGGCAGCTGGGTGTACCCCCCTAGTGATGACCCTCATAAACCAGGTGCCAGTAGTGGTGACCATGCTTTGTTTTGTTGGCTAGGAAGTGACAGCCAAACTGGAGCGTTCCAACGACTGGGATTTATCACCCACTTGGACTGCCTCCTTGAGAAGGTAATGGGGCGGTAACATTGGTCAGATGGAAACGCCTTCTCAGAAGGCTCAAATTGTTTGCTCCTCCGTGAAGTACTGTCTGTAGCTGTAAGTCATACAACAGGCAGATAAATGAGCGAACAAAGAACGGGCGGCCATCATTAACCGCTATTAGGATGTCACGAAGTGAATAATGAAATCAGGCAAATTGTAGGAACGACACCTTGTACTATAGATTCATCGAGAAACAGCAGATGAAGTGGTTTGGCCATCTTGTTAGAATGCCGCAAGATCAAATACCATCACAAGCACTACATCTCAGAAGATCAGCTACAAGAGGACGGCCGCTGAAAACATGGATCGACAACATTAAAGACTCTCTACGCCTTCACGGCATGACAATAGCCAGTGGCAGCCAATGTGCACTGGATTGCAAATTATTCCTCCCCACGACGCCTAACGGCAGAAGTGGTTTTTGATGATGATGTCTTTGATGTCACTCGGTACCTTTGCATGATATAGTCCGTGTGGGACAAGCCCTCCTTGATTGTCTCATGAGACAAGTATGGCAAGTTAGAGTATTAACATTCTTTACTTCCCTTGTAGATTTTGATAGCTGTCTTTGCATTCACTGGCTGTACTCCAGCGAAAAACGGGTTGTTCGTCCACTTCTGGACTTTGGTAGTCTTTTTCCAGAATTTTGTATGCATATCTGCTTTTACAGATGTGGCTTATTTGTGTGCAGACTGTTGGTTCCTTGCCTTTTAGACAGATGCACTGTCACTTAAAGAAAACCCATAATTAGTTGCCTTTTGTGACATGCTTATATTGACAGCTGTCATTCCAACCATCATCATCATCAAGTGCCTTGCTAGCCAATGTATATGTACATGCGTCTCCACAGATCTTGGTCTTTAGTCTGCTGGATCTTCCATGCTACTATCTCAAACCATCCACCACCAATTCTCTTGGTCTGCCTCTTCTACCAGTGATCTTTCCAGTAGTCACAAACATTTTCCAGTGCTCCTCATCGCATCACATGACCAAAGAACTTTGTTTGTCATCCTGACCTTACTTAGTTAACATTTGCTTACAGGGTGTCGGCCAGTACACGAAGGCCATCAAGGCCGTGGAGGAAGACATCCAGAATGTGCTCAAAAGTGTCAATGAGCTGGCGGGGATCAAGGAGTCAGACACAGGTTTGGCTCCTCCAGCCTTGTGGGACCTGGCCGCAGATAAACAGACCTTGCAGAGTATGTATAGAGATTTATTGCATGACTGGTTTGTCATTGAGATATGTATGCAGATTATGTATGCTCTCTTGATTTCAGCACAGTCTTCATTGTGTTCGCTCTTACAAGGGCAGTTGATGAAATTCAAAATAAGGCATTGTCATTTCTCAACACATTTCTCTTAAGTCTCAACGTTTATTTAGTCATTGAGATAAAATAGATTTACTGTGTGACTGGTTTAGTCATTAAGGTAAAATAGAGATGTATTGCATGACAAGTTTTGTCATTGAAATAAAATAGAGATTTATTGTATGTTTGTTTAGTCAGTGCGAAAAAATATAGATTTCCTGCATGACTAATTTAATCATTGAGATAAAATATATTTACAGTGTGACTGGTTTAGTCATTGAGGTAAAATAGAGGTTTATTGCATGGCGGGTTTTGTTATCGAGGTAAAATAGAGATTTATTGCATGAATGGTTTCGTCATTGAGATAAAATAGGAACTTCTTGAAGGATTGAGTTTTTTCTTTGAGATAAAATATAGATTTCCTGCGTGACTGGTTGTGTCATTGAGATAAAATATAGATTTCCTGCAAGACTGGTTGTGTCTTTGAGATAAAATATAGATTTCCTGTGTGACTGGTTGTGTTGTTGGTATAAAATATGGATTTTTTTCATGACTGATGTAGTCAATGAGATAAAATTTAGAAATTGTGTTGACTGATTTATTTTCCACAGGTGAGCAACCACTTCAGGTGGCTCGCTGTACCAAGATCATCAATGCAGACTCTGACGACCCCAAGTATATCATTAATGTGAAACAGTTCGCCAAGTTTGTGGTCGACCTTGGTGAGCAGGTGGCTCCTACAGACATCGAGGAGGGCATGCGGGTTGGGTCAGTACAGTTTATATTTGAGAGAGGTTCGATTTCTGCGTGATTATGGGTTGCATTTATGTTGGAGTGAGTGAGTTTGTTGTGGAACTTTGGCTTCATTTCATGGTGTCAGTTTGAGCGGAGTTATCATCATCGTTAAGCAGATCTTTTCTAAAACGTTGCTGTTATCCTGACAAAGTTTCAGACTTCTCGGTGCCCTGCCAGTTTTCTGCCTAGTGAACCTTTGTGCCCCGGGTGTACTTCGCTGTTTCTTAAGCTTTTCTTCTTCTTCTTTTTCTTCGTTATCTTCTTCTTCTGCTGCTGCTGCTTCTTCTTCTTTGCGTTTGTTGGCTTAAACTCTGGTGGGAAGTTCTGTTTGTTTATCCACTTGTGGACTTTGAACGAGGAGAAAGAGAAGAAGGCTGCATTATAAACAATGGGAAGTGCCCAAAAACAATAATGAGGCGGCTTGCCAGATGTTAAACAAAAATAACTGCAGCACTGCATCAAAGAATATAGGAGACAGTAATGCGAACATGCATCTGTGCTGTTGCAGCATGTGAATCATAGACATTTCACACATGGCTACAAAAGACAGTGGAAGCCCAGTGAACAGATGTTACTGAACATTCAGAGACTTTGACATTGTACTAGATACAGATATTGGTGGGAAAACAGAATAGTAGCTCATCTTGGAAAGTGAACTACAGTGACCGTGTCAAACACTGTAGGGATTTACTAAGTAACATGAGAGAGATCTTTGCCGTTGCTGGTCCAAAGCCAGGATGAGAAAGGAGGAGGGTTGGACATGGGGCCAGCTTCCCCACCATGTAAAAAATTGTTTTCTACAGAAACTTGCAGGAAAGGGGTGAACGTTAATGAGAGAGGCCAAAGGTGCTGGAGTGGATTCTTTTCATGATATTAAACTGATTGCACAGGATAGAGCTGAATGGAGGAATAGACAGGGAGCCTTATGTGGCATGTAATGGCCCAGCAACACAGTGAATGAATGAACATTAGATCTAGGAAATATTATGAATGTTCATAGATGCATGAAGCACTCAGTATTAAAATGTGGTAAGGACACCAAAAAACATGGAAAAACCTTTAGAAAACTTAGAGCATTTGGTCATATGCCCTAGTGAAAAATGTCCCACATATTGTGGATAAAATCGGTGGCTTTTTTCACATTGAAACCTTTTTATGTTTTTTCAGGGTGGATCGTAACAAGTACCAGATCCACATTCCGCTGCCCCCAAAGATTGATCCTACGGTCACCATGATGCAGGTCTGTGCCACTTGACCATCTGTTTTTGTTTGTTTATAAACGTGTTTGTATTTCTTCTGCCATTCAAACCTCAAAGGAGCACAGGTCCCTGGATCAACTGGCACCATTTCATCTTATCCTCTACGAAAAAAATGTATGCAGCTGAGGCCATGTCCTCCCCCATCTGGTCTTGTTCCCTTGGGTTGTTTGGTCTGCCTTTAATGCGTTTTTCAGACTCAGAACGGGACACTCAGAGCATACTTACCTCGAATGGTTCTTGCTGACTCTGCTGCAGGTGGCTGTGGCTCACCAAAGGAAACTCCAGAGCATGTCCTACAGGACTGCCCAGACTTTGCCAATCAGAGAAAAGAAATCTAGCCCAGGGGAGCACCGTTACAAGATAAACTATGGGGCACAGGGAAAGACCTCAAGTGCACCATCCTGTTTGTGAGCTGTATTGTGATAGGCACATAACAAACCCATCAAACTCTCATCTGGACTCCGGAGGGGGAAAGAAAACGGGGAGGACCAAGAGATACCGTGTGTAGAACCATAATCAGGGAAAGCTCAACCATGGGCCTAACAAACATCCAAGACCTAAAACCAGGGTTCGTAGTGGACCGGGAAATCGGGAAATTACCGGGATTTTTTTCGTTGACCTTGAACCGGGATTTTTAGCTTATAAAAGACATTCCGACCTTAAAAACCCGTGAATTTTGACCGCGGCAATGAAATCGTCAGAAATCCTGTGTTTTTCAGCACAGGCAATTTTGAGGGAGCCATTTGGCTTTTTTTGGCCATTTGGCTAGTTTTTGGCTACTTTCGTTGTATGGTCGTTTCAGGTGTGAGGGCAGCTGATTATTGGCTATTTTCAGCCGAAATGGCTTGTTAAAGGCCAGGGGAGGGCGGGCTTTGTTGCTGATCATGAAAACATGCAGACAGCAGCGGTGTGGCATGGGGCGGGAAGTAGCAGATTCCGTCTCGCGCGTTCCGTCTCGCGCGCGTGGTCTCCCCCCCCCCCTCTTCCCCGTGTGTGTGTGCCTTTGTTTTCTAGCGAGTCCGGCAGAATGAACAGTTTTAATCGTTTATGGCCGTGGTTTCTAGAAAGGATTACATTGGGAGATGGTGGGGCGCGGTGCAGTTGTATTTATAATAGAGTCGCCGTGGTGGGGGCTAAAGCACGGCCTTCTCTATTAATTAGAGATGGCATTGGGGCTAAGCAAAGTGACTGCAGCTGGATTTCCCAGTTCTATTTTTGGCCTGGATTTATCTTTACAGTGTGTTTGGCGATCAGTATTGTAATTCCCCGAGATTCCCTCTTCTGTTGTCTCACCCCTCTCTCTCTCTCTTCCCTCCCTCTTTCACACTCTTCTACCTATTGCTCCTTCCTTCCCGTCTCCTGCATTGTCTCTAATACCCTCCCTTCTGATCTTCATCTTCTTCTCTTTCTCTCTATCTTTCCTTTTACTCTCTCATTCCTGTTCCTGTTCCCCCCCCCCCCCCCCTTTTTCCTATTTTATTTCTTGTTTAAATTGTTTAGTAAATGTGCGGCTCCATAACTCTTCCTAGCAACTCAAGTACACAGGAAGTTGTATTGGGGGGGGGGGGGGGGGGCATTCTGTGTGAACATGGTGGATATTTTTCTTTTGGATGTTTGTTTTCCTAGCGGCCTTAATCTCTGTCCATCTCCCTTCCCGCCCCTCACATTTTTGTCCTACCTGTTCCTCCATCTCTGACTGTCTGTGTCACTGCTTTCCTCTCTCTCTTTGTATTTGCCGCTCTCCCTCACTCCCTCCCTCTCTTTCTCTCTCTCTCTCTTTCTTTCTTTCTCCATACCTTCAATTGGTGTATAAGGTTATGTGTTGCCTAGTGCAGAACATTTCATGTCCACGATTCCCCCCTCCCACACATTAAATATATGTGTACTTTTAAAAACACATTTGCCGTCACCTCCCCCCCCCCCCCTTTTTCTCCTCCCACATTGATGACACCTAGGGGAGGGAGTGCCACCCCTTCCTGCTACCTTCCTTCTTCCCTCTATATCTCATCTTATTTCTTACTCCCTTCTTTCTCTCCCCTGTCTCATTCCCACTTTATTTTCTTTAACTTTATTCTCTCACCTCCTCTGTCTCACCTTACCACCTCAGCCTTCTACACCACTTTCCACCACCTCCTCTCTCCCCTCCTTTCTGTAATTGGAAAACCAGAAATAAAATGAAGTCCACTGCTGCCCTGACCTATTTATGTGTCTGACCTATTTTATGTGTGTGGGTAAACTTCTCTATTTTCCACAGTGGTGGGTTGGGATCCCCTGGACTTTTTTTTTTCTTCATAAATGACCTTGGCTCTCAGGTCACCAGCCTTAAGTGTGAAGAAATTGAATTATTGTTGTCACACACACAGATAGGACAAGCAAGGGGCGTAGGGGTTAAGCACTGTTGTTTTTGGACCACGGGCCACATTCACATTGGGAGAGGGTAGGAACCGGAAAAGTGGCCTCACTTAGAGATTTCCTAATTCTATTTTGGGCACTCATTGTTCTTACACCCCCCACAACCGTGTCTTACCTTTCTTCTCTCACCCCTTCTCTTTCCTTTGATCTTCTACTATTCTCCTTTCTCTCTCCATTCTTCCTCTCTTCCTTTCCTTGCCCTTTCTCCTGTCCCATCTCTTCTTTGTCTCCTCTCCATCCTGTCTTTTCATTTTCTCTAGATTTCCTTACCCGCTCCCCTCTCTCATTCTCTCCCCCCCCCCCCCCCCCCCATTTTTTTTTTACCTGGTTCATCTACATATTTTTTTGCCCCATAACTATCTTTTCCTAGTGGTTGTGTCCACTACACTTGAAATTGTGTGTGGGGGGGGGAGGTGGCTGTTTTTTTTCTTTGAGGTATCTTGTCTCCCTTCCTTCCCCCCTCTCTTAATCTGTGTTTGTCACTGCCTTCCTTACCCACCTTTCTCTCTCTCTCTTGCTTTATGTCTGTCTGCCTCCCTTCATCACTTCCTCTTTGTATACCTCCCTCCCATTCTCCTGCTCTGCCTTTTTTCTCTTTCTTTGGTTCTCTCCCTCTGTCTGCTTGCCTCTCTGTGCTGTCCCTTTATGTCTACATCTCTCTCTGCTTGCATCTGCTTCTCACCCTGTCCATTCTCTCTCCCTCTGTCTCCCTTCTTTCAACTCTTTGTCATATTTTCCTCCTTCCATATCTCTGTTTTCGTTCCCTTTTTTCCTTCTCTTTTCATCTGCCCATCTCTGTATCTGCATTCCCTCTTTTTCTGTATTTGTCTCCCTCTCTGTCTTTCGCTGTCCCCTTCCCCACTTTTCCTCATCATGGTCTCCATCCCTCCCTCTCATTTTTTCCCTCCTTCCCCAGACTTCTTTTCCTTCTTTTCTCTACCTTCATCTGTCCATCTTTACACTGTCCCTCTCCCAGCCTACCTCAGCATGTGTCTTCCTCTCTCTTCATGACTCTCTCTCTCTCTCCCCTAACCCTCTCAGGTACCAGGTCCAGAAAACAGACAGGACTTCAGTTTGCTGCCCTCTACCACCAAGCCCTAAAAAAAATTTCAAACACTATATCAAGCTCAGGGGCCCGACCAACACGAAGATGGACACAGGATATAAGTGACTCTTGAGTATAAAAAAGCGGGACATGAGGCGGAGAGCTGGTGAGAGACCGAGTTTTTTTTGTCAGGGGGATAAAGGAATGCTACATGATGATGATGATATCTGTGCTGGTATACCAACACATGTGGCACAAATGAAGTACCTTGTGTGCTCAGTACACCCTTGAACAAGGCAAAAATCTTGTATTAGTATTACACCGAGACAACCTTGAAAAAAACTAAGGAGACCTTGAAAAAGACCTTGAAAAGCCTTGAAATTGATTGGTAAATTTGGCTATGAACCCTGTAAAACAGGTGGCATCTAACCGCCAGACACGGAGAGCTGTGACCTCCGTCCTATGAGCCGCCTTCACTGAAGAGGAAAGACTAACTAACTAACATAGCAAAGATTGATTACTGAAGAAGAAATTTCTTTGTTTGATGCGGCTGGCGAGGATGAAGAACACCTAACTCTCGTGGGGTCGACCCAGGTTTGGAACCTTGTTAAAGTGATGGGAATGTTTTTGTCAGGGACATAAACAAAACCCAAACCTCCACAGTCGGGTGGCCCTTAATTTGCCTGCCAGCTGCCTTGATAGGCATGTTTATGCGACACCTTAAAGTTGTTGCGTATCCTTTTATACAGGACGTTGCAGAACCAACCCCAGCACTTTCTCGCTGTTGTGGTTTTTCTAGGCAAATTTGTAGTTTGTCATTGCTTTTTCGGTCGGCTCTCGGTACCACGGTTGAAACCATCGCAAGACAAACTGACCTCAGCAGGGATCGAACCCGGCACCCAATCATTACTATGAGGCCCGTCATCAACAAAGTGACTAGCTGGTGTACAGAGATGAGAGCCGTTATCAACAAAGTGACTAGGACACCCAACTAAACAAAATTGTTCCATAAAAATTGGTTTTCTTTATAGACTTTTCTGTGTGATATTTTTCTCATGGCTGTAATGAGGTGACCAGGTGACAGGATCAGATAAGTGTGTCACGCTGTAGTTTGTTTACCGACTCCAGCAGATCTCAGCCAGCTGGATACTTTGATTGATTACTTCCCTTAGTCTGGTTTGTGTTTTCAATGATTTTATGCATTTATTTTGCGGGTGACATTTGTAAAATGGTTGTTTTTGTTTTAAAAAAAATTTCAAAGAATATCCTAAAAATGGAAATAACAGAAGCTTGGCTTTGTTTATTCTAGGTCACTGGGGTGAAAGGGTTAACGAGACAGTGCAGTGCGACTCTTTATGACGATTGTTTGGATGAACTTGTTGCTGTAAAATGTCTCCATGTTTTAGTGGGATAGTCTCTGCGAGTGCTGACAGCTTCATGTCAGGCAGAACACAACTGGTCTGAGAAATCCAGGGTTTGCCTCTCTCTCTGTCTCTCTCTGTGTTGTGTAGAGTTTTGGGTTCTCATTGTAGCAGAAGCAAAAATAGGCCCACTCCCCCCCCCCCCCTTTTTTTTTCCCCAACCATTTCAAAGGAGCAGATTAATTAGGGGTGCTTCTCTCTGAGTGCATTTGCCTGAGAGGTGAAGAACCAACAGTCTGCATACAAATAAGCTAGATCTGTAAAACGGATGTGAATGCACAAGTCAAGTTGTAGAGCAAGACTAAAGTAAGAATACGTTCAGTGTTACCTACTTTAGTTTCTCTCTGTGGAATCAGTGAGCGCATTTCACAGTGCAGGGTGTACCAAGGATCGATTTTCATAGAGGTCAGGTGAAGATTTGGTTCCCTCATGGGCCCAGTGACACAGACAGGACATGTCTGATACTTAACCCTTTCATCCAGAGAAATCATTTACCAGTTTCGTTTGACTTATCTTTAGACAGTGCCCAGGACGCCTGTACAACAGCTTGGGTACTGGCTGCAACTGCAAAGTGAGTGGAAATAATTTCTGATATATTTGAAGAGAAAAAAATGGGGGGGGGGGGTGAGTCATAATAAATGAATGATTCCATCACTTTTCTCTCTGTGGTCGTTTTAGTAAAACCCCTCTTTTCTTGGTCAGATGGAAGTAAAGCAATTATCTCTTGGCTCCATTTGTGTCTTCAAATAAATAATCACCTCTGCACAAAATAATGAGTCTAAATGAGAAAAGTCCATCTTTTTAGTGACTTGGGGTCTGTGATATCACAATAGCTAGCAGGTTTACCCGTTTGCTTATTGGTCATCTCCCAGAATTTGTTTACTTCCCTTTTTTCTTCTGCTGGTTTCTTAGGGTAGAGTTTCTGGGGATTTTTGTAACAATCTGTGAAATTTTGAAGGGGGAAAAAAGCTTCTTTTGACAGATTCTAAATGGACGGCAGGGTTGACATGGTTATAGAAAGCTGTGCCGTGTGTGACAGGTTTGTTTCAGATGATCATTTGATCTTTTTGTGACCAGGTGGAGGAGAAGCCCGATGTGACGTACAGTGACGTGGGCGGCTGCAAGGAACAGATCGACAAGTTGAGAGAAGTCGTGGAGACCCCGCTCTTACATGTTAGTATTCTGTCTCTGGAGGCGGACAATCGGTGTTCATTCACGGGTTCATACATCCATTCACTCATTCAATAATGTGTTCATTTGTTTATCCGTTCATTCATTTATCCGTCCGTACTTACATTTGTTAAAAAACCCATTTATCCATCCTTTCTTTTGTTCATTCCTTTATCCATCCAAATATTTACTGGCTTGTACAAATGTAAGTTTTGTTGGCTTAAGGGGAGAAAATAGCTGGTTCTGTATAAAGGTATGGCCTGTCTCTTTGTGGGTGACAGCTGGGTCTCTTTGTGTGTGACAGCTGGGTCTCTTTGTGTGTGACAGCTGGGTCTCTGTGTGGGCGACAGCTGGGTCTCTTTGTGTGAGAGAGCTGGGTCTCCTTGTGTGTGACAGCTGGGTCTCTGTGGGTGACAGCTGGGTCTCTGTGTGGGCGACAGCTGGGTCTCTTTGTGTGAGAGAGCTGGGTCTCCTTGTGGGTGACTGCTGGGTCTCCTTGTGGGTGACAGCTGGGTCTCTGTGTGGGTGACAGCTGGGTCTCTGTGTGGGTGACAGCTGGATCTCCATGTGGGTGACAGCTGGGTCTCCTTGTGGGTGACAGTTTGGTCTCCTTGTGGGTGACTGCTGGGTCTCCTTGTGGGTGACAGCTGGGTCTCTGTGTGGGTGACAGCTGGGTCTCTGTGTGGGTGACAGCTGGATCTCCATGTGGGTGACAGCTGGGTCTCCTTGTGGGTGACAGTTTGGTCTCCTTGTGGGTGACAGCTGGGTCTCTGTGTGGGTGACAGCTGGATCTCCATGTTGGTGACAGCTGGGTCTCCGTGTGGGTGACAGCTGGGTCTCCGTGTGGGTGACAGCTGGGTCTCTGTGTGGGTGACAGCTGGGTCTCTGTGTGGGTGACAGTTTGGTCTTTTTAGTGGGTGACCTCTTGGTGTCTGTGTGTGTGTGTTATACATGTACTTCTTCACTGACTGGGGATGTGTGAACTAGTGGGTCAGGTCATCAGTGATTGGAGATCATGGTTGCACTCATCTATCTAATGCCAAGCTGTGGTCAGAATAATAGTACTGCCATTCTTATCTCTGCTTCAATACAGATGGGTGTTCCAGTGAATGCCTTGCCTTGTCTCCTTAAATGTCCTGTCTGTGTTTGAGTATATGTTTTATGTTTCAGCAGCATGTCTTATGTTTCAGCAGCATGCCTTGTCGCTTTCAGCAAATGTCTTGCCTGTGACATGTCTATGTTGTCCTAAATGTGCTGTCTTTGACTTGTCTATGTTTCTGTACATATCTTACCTCAGACATGTCTATGTTTCTGTACATATCTTACCTCAGACATGTCTATGTTTCTGTACATATCTTACCTCAGACTTGTCTATGTTTCTGTACATATCTTACCTCAGACATGTCTATGTTTCTGTACATATCTTACCTCAGACTTGTCTATGTTTCTGTACATATCTTACCTCAGACTTGTCTATGTTGGCCTAATTGTGCTGTCTTTGACTTGTCTATGTTTCTGTACATATCTTACCTCAGACTTGTCTATGTTGGCCTAAATGTGCTGTCTTTGACTTGTCTATGTTTCTGTACATATCCTACCTCAGACATGTCTTTGTTGTCCTAAGTGTCCTGTCTATGACTTGTCTATGTTTCTGTACATATCTTACCTCAGACATGTCTATGTTGTCCTAAGTGTCCTGTCTATGACTTGTCTGTTTCAGCCAGAGAGGTTTGTGAACCTAGGAATTGAACCCCCGAAGGGAGTGCTGCTGTTCGGACCACCAGGGACTGGCAAGACCCTTTGTGCCCGAGCTGTGGCCAACAGAACTGACGCCTGCTTCATCAGGGTCATTGGTTCGGAGCTGGTGCAGAAATATGTGGGAGAGGTCAGTGTCTGGACGCTTCATTAGAAACATCCAAATGTTGATTTGATGATTTTGTGTTTCTGAATTTCTTCACTCAGCAGCATTGGTATTTCTCATGACTATCTTACGGCTGGAGGGTGGGGGTCTCAAATTATTGGTGTGTGAAAATGTTGTATTGTAGGTCCATGTGTGAAAATGTTGGATGGTAGGTCCATGTGTGAAAATGTTGGACGGTAGGTCCATGTGTGAAAATGTTGGACGGTAGGTCCATGTGTGAAAATGTTGGACGGTAGGTCCATGTGTGAAAATGTTGGATGGTAGGTCCATGTGTGAAAATGTTGGTTGGTAGGTCCATGTGTGAAAATGTTGGATGGTAGGTCCATGTGTGAAAATGTTGGATGGTAGGTCCATGTGTGAAAATGTTGGATGGTAGGTCCATGTGTGAAAATGTTGGATGGTAGGTCCATGTGTGAAAATGTTGGACGGTAGGTCCATGTGTGAAAATGTTGGATGGTAGGTCCATGTGGGAAAATGTTGGTTGGTAGGTCCATGTGTGAAAACGTTGGATGGTAGGTCCATGTGTGAAAATGTTGGACGGTAGGTCCATGTGTGAAAATGTTGGATGGTAGGTCCATGTGTGAAAATGTTGGTTGAGTGGACTGATTGTGGCTGAAGCCCTTAGGGAAGCAAAGAGTAGTGATACTATAATCAGCTTTACTTCAGAGTTGAATGATTATAATTCATTATCCTCTAGTACCAGACTTCAGAGTTGAATGATTATAATTCATTATCCTCTAGTACCAGACTTCAGAGTTGAATGATTATAATTCATTATCCTCTAGTACTAGACTTCAGAGTTGAATGATTATAATTCATTATCCTCTAGAACCAGACTTCAGAGTTGAATGATTATAATTCATTATCCTCTAGTACCAGACTTCAGCATCCAAACCGGATGATTGAGACAATGTTGAGAAAAATACAGTTCTTGGGGTATTTGGGCAGGGGTATCAAAGTTACTGTGTTGAAGACAACAAGGCCTCGCCATATGTTTCCAAAGGCAGCGGCTGGATGCAGCGCAACTAGCCAGACTCCCTTGCCGAGATGGCACTCAAGTTTGAAGATACCAAGTCTGTTGTACGAGGTGACAGTAGAGGTCCTGGTGCTGGCTAGAGGTCCTGGTGCTGGCTAGAGGTCCTGATGTTGGCTAGAGGTCCTGGTGTTGTCTAGAGGTCCTGGTGTTGTCTAGAGGTCCTGGTGGTGGCTAGAGGTCCTGCTGTTGGCTAGAGGTCCTGGTGTTGGCTAGAGGTCCTGGTGTTGCTGGCTAGAGGTCCTGGTGGTGATGGCTAGAGGTACTGGTGGTGATGGCTAGAGGTACTGGTGGTGCTGGCTAGAGGTCCTGGGGCTGGCTAGAGGTACTGGTGGTGCTGGCTAGAGGTACTGGTGTTGGCTAGAGATCCTGGTGTTGTTGGCTTGAGGTCCTGGTGTTGTTGGCTTGAGGTCCTGGTGTTGGCTTGAGGTCCTGGTGCTGGCTAGAGGTCCTGGTGTTGGCTAGAGGACCTGGTGCTGGCTAGAGGTCCTGGTGCTTGGAGGTCCTTGAGCTAGAGGTCCTGGTGTGCTGGCTAGGGTACTGGTGAGAGATCCTGGTGTTGGCTTGAGGTCCTGGTGCTGGCTAGAGGTCCTGGTGTTGGCTAGAGGTCCTGGTGCTGGCTAGAGGTACTGGTGGTGTTGGCTAGAGGTACTGGTGCTGGCTAGAGGTCCTGGTGCTGGCTAGAGGTACTGGTGTTTGGCTAGAGGTCCTGGTGCTGGCTAGAGGTACTGGTGCTGGCTAGAGGTCCTGGTGCTGGCTAGAGGTACTGGTGTTTGGCTAGAGGTCCTGGTGCTGGCTAGAGGTCCTGGTGTTGGCTAGAGGTCCTGGTGCTGGCTTGAGGTCCTGGTGCTGGCTAGAGGTACTGGTGTTGTTGGCTAGAGATCCTGGTGTTGTTGGCTAGAGATCCTGGTGTTGTTGGCTTGAGGTCCTGGGGCTGGCTAGAGGTCCTGGTGTTTGGCTTGAGGTCCTGGGGCTGGCTAGAGGTCCTGGTGTTTGGCTAGAGGTCCTGGTGCTGGCTAGAGGTCCTGGTGTTGGCTAGAGGTCCTGGTGGGGCTGCTAGAGGTACTGGTGGTGCTGGCTAGAGGTACTGGTGGTGTTGGCTAGAGATCCTGGTGTTGTTGGCTAGAGGTCCTGGTGTTGGCTACATCATTCATCGGGATGCCCATGTTTTGCACCTGTCTTTTCTTGAGGACCGACTAGCATACAGGCTGCTGCTATGGATGGGTGTGCTACAAGGCGCCATCCACGGATGGGTGTGCTACAAGACGTCATCCACGTATGGGTGTGCTACAAGGTGTCATCCACGGATGGGTGAGGCAAGATGGTGACAACAGTGAGGCGGTTCAAGGGAAAACCTACTAGGAGGGTTCATCTGATCAACAAATCTGTTGCTGATGTGTCAGCCCAAAGGTCAACATGCACAACACAATTACATCCTGGCCTAGCACACAATGGCAATGGCTTTTAGGGAAGCCAGATTTCTTGAGTATACAGTGGCCAAATGTAGAAAGTGAGAACACTTGTTATGATGGTGGGGATTCATGGCCAGTGAGGTGATACATGAGGCATCCCTAGGAAATGAATGGGTTCAGTGTGTATATATATAAACGTGTACATAGACGGACATATTCACAAACACAGTGACAGACATAGACTAATATACATAAACAAATGTATAAACATTCGCACTCATGTAGTCATTCTGGCAGCCACGCACTCGGCACTGCACAAGTATGTCAGTAGAGTGGTTATGTCTCAGCAGGTAGTAGCTTAATATTTAGTTTGAGAATGGAGGTTAAGGCAGTCACAGTAGCTTTCCGCTGTCTTGAGAACCAGCTTCATACACATACTCTGAAAGTGTGCTGAGAGAAACGAGCTGTTTTCAGATTGGCAAGCAGCGCTTCAGAAGTCTTCTGTAGTTTGCATCCTTTAGATTTGTCTCAAAGATATGCAGGTGTGTTGGGAAATGAGAAGACAGATCATTTGTTGCAGCACCACTGGATGAATTGATGGATGACAAGATAGATGGGGTCACAGCCCTTTTGGAACAAGTAAATGTTGTGGAAGCAGCAATAGAACATTATGGTCTGGGGAAAATGGTGCAGCAGGAGATGTAGCAGAAACACTCGGAGGAAAGGCAGTCAAACTGCTGCTGATCTTGTCATAGCTGGGACTCTTTGTGGGTTACTGAAGCTGGCAGAGAACATATAGGAACGTCCTGGGTACCTGTGATGTGGGTACCTGACTCAGCTCACGCTAACCTGTGATGTGGGTACCTGTGATGTGGGTACCTGACTTAGCTCACGCTAACCTGTAATGTGGGCACCTGTGATGTGGGTACCTGACTCAGCTCACGCTAACCTGTGATGTGGGTACCTGACTCAGCTCCCGCTAACCTGTGATGTGGGTACCTGTGATGTGGGTACCTGACTCAGCTCACGCTAACCTGTGATGTGGGTACCTGTGATGTGGGTACCTGACTCAGCTCACGCTAACCTGTGATGTGGGCACCTGTGATGTGGGTACCTGTGATGTCAGCAATGCCTTGTCTTTGTTGCAGGGAGCTCGAATGGTCCGGGAACTGTTTGAAATGGCCCGTGCAAAGAAAGCCTGTATCATTTTCTTTGATGAGATTGATGCTGTTGGAGGTGAGTCTTGTGTTGTGTATTTTTGTTGATGTTTTCAGTCAGTATTGAATTACCGATGTAGATATTTGGGGACTTTGTTGATCTGCGTGCTGTACTAAAGTAGATTGGGGGGGGGGGGGGGGGGGGGGGGAGATTGTTAATGTGTGTGCTGTACTAAAATAGATGTTTGGGGAGTTTTGTTGATGTGTGTGCCGTACTAATGAAGATGTTTGGAGAGGTTTTTCCTTTTTCTTGGGTGTGGTGGGGGGTGGGGATTGTTGATGTGTGTGCTGTACTAATGAAGATGTTTGGAGAGGTTTTTCCTTTTTCTTGGGTGTGGTGGGGGGTACATGGTGATGTTCTTCTGCAGAGCTGCAGTCAAGTTGTGAAGAAAAAAAATGTTTCTCTTTGTGCACACATTGTTGAGTGTTTCTCTTTGTGCACACATTGTTGAGTGTTTCTCTTTGTGCACACATTGTTGAGTGTTTCTCTTTGTGCACACATTGTTGAGTGTTTCTCTTTGTGCACACATTGTTGAGTGTTTCTCTTTGTGCACACATTGTTGAGTGTTTCTTTTTGTGCTCACATTGTTGAGTGTTTCTTTGTGCATCTATTGCAGATTAAATGTTTCTCTTTGTGCATCTATTGCAGATTAAATGTTTCTCTTTGTGCATCTATTGCAGATTAAATGTTTCTCTTTGTACACACATTTTTGAGTGGTTCTGTTTGTACTAGCATCGAGTAGATCTGCACCTGTTGTTTATTGTGTAGTTCCATCTCTGCACCTGTTGTTTATTGTGTAGTTCCATCTCTGCACCAATCACTTAGCAGCTATGCACCTGTAGTTGATAGTGTAGTTCTATTTGTGCATCGATTACTCAGAGGCTTTGCTCCCGTATTTTATTTTGTAGTTCCATTTGTACTGTGCACCAGTAGTTGATTGCCATCTATGCTGTATCCAGGTGCTAGGTTTGACGATGGTGGCCCAGTAGTTGATTGCCATCTATGCTGTATCCAGGTGCTAGGTTTGACGATAGTGGCCCAGTAGTTGATTGCCATCTATGCTGTATCCAGGTGCTAGGTTTGACGATGGTGGCCCAGTAATTGATTGCCATCTATACTGTATCCAGGTGCTAGGTTTGACGATGGTGCTGGCGGAGATAACGAAGTTCAGCGGACCATGCTGGAGCTGATAAACCAGCTGGATGGGTTCGATCCCAGGGGAAACATTAAAGTCCTCATGGCCACAAACCGGCCGGACACACTTGACCCAGCCTTGATGAGACCAGGCCGCCTGGACAGAAAGATAGAGTTTGGACTTCCAGACCTAGAGGTGAGTGATCTCTGATGGTGGGTGTGTGGATAAATAGACATGTTTCTAGAATGTTCTGACAATTACAGCTCTCCTATTGTGGGTTAGGATGTGAAGTCCTAGTGAGTTTTTCAAAACAGGACATATTGAAGGCTCTCTAGGTTCCCTAGACGGACAAAACAGAACATAATGAAGGCTCTCTAGGTTCCCTAGACGGACAAAACAGAACATAATGAAGGCTCTCTAGGTTCCCTAGAAAAACAAAACAACATAATGAAGGCTCTCTATGTTTCCCTGACAGACAAAACAGGACATCATGAAGGCCGTCTAGTTTCCCCTGACAGACAAAACAGGACAAAATTAAGGCTCTCTAGGTTCCCCTGACAGACAAAACAGGACATCATGAAGGCCGTCTAGTTTCCACTGACAGACAAAACAGGACAAAATTAAGGCTCTCTAGGTTAACCTGACAGACAAAACAGGATATCATGAAGGCCGTCTAGTTTCCACTGACAGACAAAACAGGACAAAATTAAGGCTCTCTATGTTTCCCTGACAGACAAAACAGGACATCATGAAGGCCGTCTAGTTTCCACTGACAGACAAAACAGGACAAAATTAAGGCTCTCTAGGTTAACCTGACAGACAAAACAGGATATCATGAAGGCCGTCTAGTTTCCACTGACAGACAAAACAGGACAAAATTAAGGCTCTCTAGGTTCCCCTGACAAACAAAAGGCTGTCTAGATTCTACCGACAGTCAAAACGGGACATGCTGAAACCAACAGTCTGCATAAAAATATGCTTGATCTGTAAAACGATGTGCATGTAACACTGAAGTTGTGGAACAAGACTCAAGTCTCGAAGTGGGCCAAGAACCAGAACCTTCCACCGAAGTTTACAGCCAGTGAATGTGAAGAACCAGAACCTTCCACCGAAGTTTACAGCCAGTGAATGTGAAGAACCAGAACCTTCCACCGAAGTTTACAGCCAGTGAATGTGAAGAACCAGAACCTTCCACCGAAGTTTACAGCGAGTGAATGTGAAGAACCAGAACCTTCCACCGAAGTTTACAGCGAGTGAATGTGAAGAACCAGAACCTTCCACTGAAGTTTACAGCCAGTGAATGTGAAGAACCAGAACCTTCCACTGAAGTTTACAGCGAGTGAATGTGAAGAACCAGAACCTTCCACCGAAGTTTACAGCGAGTGAATGTGAAGAACCAGAACCTTCCACTGAAGTTTACAGCGAGTGAATGTGAAGAACCAGAACCTCCCACCGAAGTTTACAGCGAGTGAATGTGAAGAACCAGAACCTTCCACTGAAGTTTACAGCGAGTGAATGTGAAGAACCAGAACCTTCCACTGAAGTTTACAGTGAGTGAATGTGAAGAACCAGAACCTTCCACTGAAGTTTACAGTGAGTGAATGTGAAGAACCAGAACCTTCCACTGAAGTTTACAGCGAGTGAATGTGAAGAACCAGAACCTTCCACTGAAGTTTACAGTGAGTGAATGTGAAGAACCAGAACCTTCCACTGAAGTTTACAGTGAGTGAATGTGAAGAACCAGAACCTTCCACTGAAGTTTACAGCGAGTGAATGTGAAGAACCAGAACCTTCCACTGAAGTTTACAGTGAGTGAATATGAAGAACCAGAACCTTCCACCGAAGTTTACAGTGAGTGAATGTGAAGAACCAGAACCTTCCACCGAAGTTTACAGTGAGTGAATGTGAAGAACCAGAACCTTCCACTGAAGTTTACAGCGAGTGAATGTGAAGAACCAGAACCTTCCACTGAAGTTTACAGTGAGTGAATGTGAAGAACCAGAACCTTCCACCGAAGTTTACAGCGAGTGAATGTGAAGAACCAGAACCTTCCACCGAAGTTTACAGCGAGTGAATGTGAAGAACCAGAACCTTCCACTGAAGTTTACAGCGAGTGAATGTGAAGAACCAGAACCTTCCACCGAAGTTTACAGCGAGTGAATGTGAAGAACCAGAACCTTCCACCGAAGTTTACAGTGAGTGAATGTGAAGAACCAGAACCTTCCACCGAAGTTTACAGCGAGTGAATGTGAAGAACCAGAACCCTCCACCGAAGTTTACAGCGAGTGAATGTGAAGAACCAGAACCTTCCACTGAAGTTTACAGCGAGTGAATGTGAAGAACCAGAACCTTCCACCGAAGTTTACAGCGAGTGAATGTGAAGAACCAGAACCTTCCACCGAAGTTTACAGCGAGTGAATGTGAAGAACCAGAACCTTCCACTGAAGTTTACAGTGAGTGAATGTGAAGAACCAGAACCTTCCACCGAAGTTTACAGCGAGTGAATGTGAAGAACCAGAACCTTCCACCGAAGTTTACAGCGAGTGAATGTGAAGAACCAAAACCTTCCACTGAAGTTTACAGCGAGTGAATGTGAAGAACCAGAACCTTCCACCGAAGTTTACAGCGAGTGAATGTGAAGAACCAGAACCTTCCACCGAAGTTTACAGTGAGTGAATGTGAAGAACCAGAACCTTCCACCGAAGTTTACAGCGAGTGAATGTGAAGAACCAGAACCCTCCACCGAAGTTTACAGCGAGTGAATGTGAAGAACCAGAACCTTCCACTGAAGTTTACAGCGAGTGAATGTGAAGAACCAGAACCTTCCACCGAAGTTTACAGCGAGTGAATGTGAAGAACCAGAACCTTCCACCGAAGTTTACAGCGAGTGAATGTGAAGAACCAGAACCTTCCACCGAAGTTTACAGTGAGTGAATGTGAAGAACCAGAACCTTTCACCGAAGTTTACAGTGAGTGAATGTGAAGAACCAGAACCTTCCACCGAAGTTTACAGTGAGTGAATGTGAAGAAGCAGAACCTTCCACTGAAGTTTACAGTGAGTGAATGTGAAGAAGCAGAACCTTCCACTGAAGTTTACAGTGAGTGAATGTGAAGAACCAGAACTTTCCACTGAAGTTTACAGCGAGTGAATGTGAAGAAGCAGCAGCAACAACCTGTTTGAACCCTATAACAAAATGTCCCTAATGGACATTAAACATTCTCCCAAATATAAAGCACCAGGAGAATGAGAAGAAAAATGTTGTTAGATAATTAATAGATTTGTGTTTTGAGCTGGTGAATATTTTTTTTTCTGAATTATTTCTATGGTATTTTGAGTGTAAGCTCAGATTGGGCTAGAATGACATGGGCCAGATTGGGCTAGAATGACATGTGCCAGATTGGGCTAGAATGACATGTGCCAGATTGGGCTAGAATGACATGGGCCAGACTGGGCTAGAATAAATTCAGCCAGGTAATTTTGCACATTGAAAATCCTAAACATCTGATGATGCCAGATTGTCTGATGTTTTATTATTGTAACCTGTCCAGGGTCGGACTCACATCTTCAAGATCCACGCCCGCTCCATGAGTGTGGAGAAGGACATCCGCTACGAGCTGCTAGCTAGGTTGTGTCCCAACAGCACGGGTAAGTTACATGTTTGTATTTTTAAATTTTGGTAAGTTGCAGATTATGGTTTTTGATGTGGTTCCTGAGAAGAAAACAGAGAGTGTCTTAGAAAGATAGAAAAACAAACAAAGCATCCTCATGGAGAAATATGAAAGTTGTAAAGTTATTAGAACAGTTAGACAGACAATGTTTCCTGGACATGTGATGACAAGGAATGGACTTCAGAACTGGCTGGGCTGAGATATGGAATGTGTTGATGGTTGTCTTGTTGATGGTTGTCTTGTTGATGGCTGGGCTGAGATGTGGAATGTGTTGATGGTTGTCTTGTTGATGGCTGGGCTGAGATGTTGAATGTGTTGATGGTTGTCTTGTTGATGGCTGGTTGATGGCTGGGCTGAGATAATCACTGTAGGTTAATTTTTTCGGGGCCGTCCCACAAGTTATATGAGAGAGAGGCTGTCCGAGAGATAGCTTTACAGACAAGTGATATGAGAAAGGCTCCCTGAGAGATAGCTTTACACACAAGTGATGTGAGAGAGGCTGTCCGAAAGATAGCTTTACAGACGATATGAGAGAGAGGCTGTCCGAGAGATAGCTTTACAGACAAGTGATAGGAGAGAGAGGCTGTCCGAGAGATAGCTTTACAGACAAGTGATGTGAGAGAGAGGCTGTCCCAGGGGCAGCTTTACACACAAGTGAGATGCTGTCCGAGATATAGCTTTACACACAAGTGAGATGCTGTCCGAGATATAGCTTTACACACAAGTGAGATGCTGTCCGAGATATAGCTTTACACACAAGTGATGTGTGAGAGAGAAGCTGTCCGAGAGATAGCTTTACACGCAAGTGATGAGAGAGAGGCTGTCAGAGAGATAGCTTTACACACAAGTGATGTGAGAGAGAGGCTGTCCGAGAGCTTTACACACAAGTGATGAGAGAGAGGCTCTCCGAGAGATAGCTTTACACACAAGTGATGAGAGAGAGGCTGCCCGAGAGATAGCTTTACACACAAGTGATGTGAGAGAGAGGCTGTCCGAGAGATAGCTTTACATACAAGTGATGAGAGAGAGGCTCTCCGAGAGATAGCTTTACACACAGGTGATGAGAGAGAGGCTGTCCGAGAGATAGCTTTACACACAAGTGATATGAGAGAGAGAGAGGCTGTCCGAGAGATAGCTTTACACACAAGTGGTATGAGAGAGAGAGAGAGGCTGTCCGAGAGATAGCTTTACACACAAGTGATATGAGAAAGGCTCCCTGAGAGATAGCTTTACACACAAGTGATGTGAGAGAGGCTGTCCGAAAGATAGCTTTACAGACGATATGAGAGAGGAGGCTGTCCGAGAGATAGCTTTACAGACAAGTGATAGGAGAGAGAGGCTGTCCGAGAGATAGCTTTACAGACAAGTGATGTGAGAGAGAGGCTGTCCCAGGGGCAGCTTTACACACAAGTGAGATGCTGTCCGAGATATAGCTTTACACACAAGTGAGATGCTGTCCGAGATATAGCTTTACACACAAGTGAGATGCTGTCCGAGATATAGCTTTACACACAAGTGATGTGTGAGAGAGAGGCTGTCTGAGAGATAGCTTTACACACAAGTGATGAGAGAGAGGCTGCCCGAGAGATAGCTTTACACACAAGTGATGTGAGAGAGAGGCTGTCCGAGAGATAGCTTTACACACAAGTGATGAGAGAGAGAGGCTCTCTGAGAGATAGCTTTACACACAGGTGATGAGAGAGAGGCTGTCTGAGAGATAGCTTTACACACAAGTGATATGAGAGAGAGAGAGAGGCTGTCCGAGAGATAGCTTTACACACAAGTGGTATGAGAAAGAGAGGCTGTCCGAGAGATAGCTTTACACACAAGTGGTATGAGAAAGAGAGGCTGTCCGAGAGATAGCTTTACACACAAGCGATGTGAGAGAGGCTGTCCGAGAAATAGCTTTACACACAAGTGATGTGAGAGAGATGCTGTCCCAGAGATAGTTTTACATGTGAGTGAGATGAAGGCTCTCTAGGTTCTACCAGTAGACAAAACAGGGCCTAATGAAGACTCTCTCTGACCTGTGACCTCTCTGACAGTAACATGTGACCTCTCTGTCAGTGACCTCTCTGGCAGTCACCTGTGACCTCTCTGACACTGACCTGTGACCTCTCTGACACTGACCTGCAGCTTGTCCCCTCTCTCCTTCCTCAGGTGCAGAAATCCGCAGTGTGTGTACAGAGGCCGGCATGTTCGCCATCCGAGCCCGCAGGAAAATGGCTACAGAGAAGGACTTCCTGGAGGCAGTCAACAAGGTCATCAAAGCCTATGCCAAGTTCAGCGCCACGCCACGTTACATGACCTACAACTAGCATAGGGGTGTGAAGTGTGGGGGTTCAGAACTATTTGGTTCTCAGATGGGTTGCTTGGACATTGAACAATTTAGCTCCAGATCTCACGTTGATGGCTCGGCTGAGATGTGGAATGTGTTGATAGTTGTCTTGTTGACTGCTTGGCTGAGATGTGGAATGTGTTGATGGTTGTCTTGTTGACTGCTTGGCTGAGATGTGGAATGTGTTGATGGTTGTCTTGTTGATGGTTGTCTTGTTGACTGCTTGGCTGAGATGTGGAATGTGTTGATGGTTGTCTTGTTGATGGTTGTCTTGTTGACTGCTTGGCTGAGATGTGGAATTTGTTGATGGTTGTCTTGTTGACTGCTTGGCTGAGATGTGGAATGTGTTGATGGTTGTCTTGTTGATGGTTGTCTTGTTGATGGCTTGGCTGAGATGTGGAATGTGTTGATGGTTGTCTTGTTGATGGTTGTCTTGTTGACTGCTTGGCTGAGATGTGGAATGTGTTGATGGTTGTCCTGTTGACTGCTTGGCTGAGATGTGGAATGTGTTGATGGTTGTCTTGTTGATGGCTGGGCTGAGATGTGGAATGTGTTGATGGTTGTCTTGTTGACTGCTTGGCTGAGATGTGGAATTTGTTGATGGTTGTCTTGTTGACTGCTTGGCTGAGATGTGGAATGTGTTGATGGTTGTCTTGTTGATGGTTGTCTTGTTGATGGCTTGGCTGAGATGTGGAATGTGTTGATGGTTGTCTTGTTGATGGTTGTCTTGTTGACTGCTTGGCTGAGATGTGGAATGTGTTGATGGTTGTCCTGTTGACTGCTTGGCTGAGATGTGGAATGTGTTGATGGTTGTCTTGTTGATGGCTGGGCTGAGATGTGGAATGTGTTGATGGTTGTCTTGTTGATGGCTTGGCTGAGATGTTGAATGTGTTGATGGTTGTCCTGTTGATGGTTTGGCTGAGATGTGGAATGTGTTGTCACACCCACATGTCTTAATCACACTCACATGTCTTTATCACACCTACATGTCTTGATCACACCTACATGTCTTGATCACACCCACATGTCTTGATCACACCCACATGTCTTAATCACACCCACTTGTCTTTATCACACCTACATGTCTTGATCACACCCACATGTCTTAATCACACCCACTTGTCTTTATCACACCTACATGTCTTGATCACCCACATGTCTTGATCACACCCACATGTCTTTATCACACCTACATGTCTTGATCACCCACATGTCTTGATCACACCCACATGTCTTAATCACACCCACTTGTCTTTATCACACCTACATGTCTTGATCACCCACATGTCTTGATCACACCCACATGTCTTAATCACACCCACTTGTCTTTTATCACACCTACATGTCTTGATCACCCACATGTCTTAATCACACCCACTTGAAGGTGGCATGTTGTGTTTGAGAGTAGAGTGCAGTGTCTGTTGAGAATGTTCGTTCCTGTTTATGAATGATTGAGACAAGTTGTAGTTCCTGTTCATGAATGATTGAGACAAGTTGTGGTTCCTGTTCATGAATGATTGAGACAAGTTGTGGTTCCTGTTCATGAATGATTGAGACAAGTTGTGGTTCCTGTTCATGAATGATTGAGACAAGTTGTAGTTCATGTTCTGATTTTGTTGGTTGGGAGTTACAACTCTGAATTCTCTTTTATGTGTGTGTATGTGCCTTTTTTGGTTGTTGATGTTTTTTTTTTTTTTGAGAATAAATTTGATGGTGTGTCATCTTCCATTCGCTTATCAGAAGTTTTTGTTTTGTTCAGCTTTCTGCTTTAATCGGACTGTGCTGAGGTGGAGGTGGTCACTGCAGCTTTCTGCTGGCTAGAGAACACAATACACACACACACACTTGTTTTTTTCTGACAAGAAGGGAGGAAAATGCTAGGCATCGCTTCTCCTTTCTCACCAGTTTCAAGAACCATCATCACAGCAATCTGGGAATTTACATAAGTGTTTCGTCCCTATCTTCAGCAGCCACCACAGAGTTTCAATACCAATGGGGCCTTTAGCACTCTGATTATACGACCGTCTCGCCTTTTATCTGAGCGTCGAATATCGGCCAGAACCTCTCGCCACTCCTCGTTGCACCCCTTTCACCAGACTGTGGTGATCAATTTGCTCCTCCGAAAAGTACATTCTCTCCCACATGGCCAAAACCACATCTGCCCTATCATGCATCAATATTCCATTAAGTTGTGTAGAGCCAACCAATCTCTACAATTGTTTATTTCCCAACACACCGGTATGACCTAGAAAAGATTCAGTCAGACAATGCTTTTCAACCGTGACCTCTGCTGTGAAGCATGCCTGTCCTCACCTTCCTCAACATGTTCTCTCTGAATCTGTTACAGTCACTGTGTGTGTGTGTGTCTGGTCTCTAACCAGAAAGGAAAACATAGTCATTGCGTCCATTTTTTTTACCAGAACGGAAACATTAGGCATCCCATCCATCTAATATCTATTCTAAATTCTTTGTGCCCCTGGTCTTCTCACTGCTGGGCTATTTACTCTAGATTATTAACTAAGCAGATTAAGGTCCAAAACACAGCAGTAACATTTTTTTTCCACTTTTTTTTATGGTATAATGAATAACAAAGCATAGTTACGCCAATTTGTACAGCACAAGAAACCAAACAAGTGAGACTCAACAAAGTCAGACACTAACAAACTCAGTATGCTAACAAATATGACAACACAGAAGATTAAAAAAAAAAAAAAAAAAAAACTTGGGTTAGACCGGAGAATCTACACTGTGAATCAGCCACAGGAAGTGGTTAGTTGTGCCACTCGCACAAGTCAGCTGGTTTGTGTGGTTCGCTAACCAGCCAGCATTTTTCTGCACTAGATGGTGGTGGTTACAAAATCAAACTCCAAAGTTAAATAGTAAAAACAGCAGATTCCATTTCTGCTGCAGGTTTACCATCAGCTTACGTAACCAGCGTTACAGAAATAGTTTGTGAACTAATACAACCTGCTTTACAAAAATTATGTGACGAAAAATCAACTTTTAAAGTCAATAAAGATAATCAGGTTTGAAAATGATTTATAACCGGATTTACACAAATGGTTTATAACCAGGTGTACAACTGATTTTTAACCTGCTTTACAAAAATGGCCATTGCACTAAAAAAAATGGTTTTAAAAAAAACAGACAGGGAACTCAATTCACAAATGGAAAGTCTGTGAATGTGAGGAACTAATTTCCTATCAACCAGACCGGATAATGTCTCAGTTCGCAAAGAAAGAGCAAAAAGTGTGGTGGTGTGGTGCCAGCATTCTGGTAGTCTGGCACCCACATGTGTCAGGTACAGTCTGGCACCCACATGTGTCAGGTACAGTCTGACACCCACACGTGTCAGGTACAGTCTGACACCCACATGTGTTTGGTACAGTCTGACACCCACATGTGTCTGGTACAGTCTGACACCCACATGTGTCAGGTACAGTCTGGCACCCACATGTGTCAGGTACAGTACGCTGGTAGTTTGGTATACCCTTGGTACTGGTGAGACTGGTACAGTCAGGTATACCCTTGGTATAGGTGAGACAGGTACAGTCATATATACCCTTGGTACAGCTGAGATTGGTAGTCAGATATACCTTGGTACAACTGAGACCGGTAAAGCCTAGTATACCCCTGGTACAGCTGAAACTCTGATGGTGGACTGCAGATCAACTAAGGGGCAGAACTGAACAAATCAAAAGTAAGACAAAATGAGAAGCCTGCAACAATTACATCTTACAAACTATCAAATGTGACGAATTAAACACATGTGACGAACTAATACTAGGAAGAACTGAAATGGGAGACACTAGTGAAGCAGTCGTGTAAGGGTTAAAAAAAAAAAAAAAAGTGATTTACAACATTATTCACAATGAAAGAATCAAAGACAATTATCAAACCCACAGTTGGGTCACATGACAGACAGCACACAATTTCTCATACAGGATTGTATCAGTGGTGTCCGATGGTATTGTCATTGTGTCTGAATGGCTGATGGCATTAGGGTTGTATCTGATTGGCTGATGGCATTAGTGGTGTTTGATTGGCTGATGGCATTAGTTGTGTCTGATTGGCTGATGGCATTAGGGGTGTCTGATCAGCTGATGGCATTAGTGGTGTCTGATTGGCTGATGGCATTAGTGGTGTCTGATCGGCTGATGGCATTAGTGGTGTCTGATCGGCTGATGGCATTAGTGGTGTCTGATCGGCTGATGGCATTAGTGGTGTCTGATTGGCTGGTGGCATTAGTGGTGCCTGATTGGTTGATGGCATCAGTGGTGTCTGATTGGCTGACAGCATTAGTGGTGTCTGAGCATTATTTGTGTCTAATTCAATCAATCAGGTGCCGTCTCCACAATGACGGTAGGCTGCAATGGATCTCCAACAAGCCCTGTCTCTTGTCCTTGATGTACACTCACTCATACTGCTGTCCGTCCATATCTTGATGTTATCCTCCCACTTGTAATGCTGTCTGCCTCTTGTTCGCCTACCTTGAACCTTTCCCTCTAGGATGATCTTAACAATACTGTTATGTCTTTTAATGTGACCAAAATATTTCACTTGTCTATTTCACCTAGCAACTTTCTTTTCCTTCCCAATTTCCTCAGTACCTCTGTATTTGATAGCTTTTGTTTCCATGAAATACGACCTAATCTTCTGTATATCCACATCTCCAAAGAATTGATACGATTTTCCAGTTGTTTGTTCATTGTCCATGTCTCTGTGCCATACGGTAAGGTTGAGAATACATAACATTTGACAATCCTCATTTTTAATGTATTGCTTCTTTCTCTTGATGTCAGTAACTTGTACATGTTGTTGAAAATGTTTTTGGCCATCCCTATTCTTTTCTTGACTTCTGTTTCACTCCTGCAGTCACATGTTATTACTTGTCCAAGATATAAGAAATTTTTAACTTGTTCCAATTTCACCCCGTTCACTGTGATATTCATTGTTAGCTGACTATTTTCTTTGCTAAAT